ATGGAGTGCCACATGTAAAAAATCAGAGTCTAGGCTCTATCAAATGACATGAAATTGAGATTTGACATTTGTAGAACTGATTCCTTACATTGGAGAATTCCTAATGTCATTTTTTCTCGGTATACTCTGTAGATTGTAAATGGGTGTTGTTTCCAGAGAGGTAGGAAGTAAAGATATGGGGGATGAATAGAGGAAGGGGAGAGAGGAGGATGTGAAAGGCTCTACCCCTTCCTTTGTCACAGCATTGAAATTAAACAATCAATTATTCACTTCCACATTAGAAAGTCTGGCCCAAATAGAAGCCTAGACAATAGTTTCCCACCCTTCCACTCAAGCACTACAACCTCAATAGGCATCATCCATCAAACTGACTTACTCAGGCAGGAAACTTTCAAAGAAAGTCTCATTGTGTATTGAAAATGACTCTGTGAGAACAGTAACTTCACTGATGTATTTTGACAATAATCAGGTCTACACAGCAGACAGTGAAGGCAGCAGACAATATATAAAGATGACCTACAGACTGACAGCAAGGAAAACATGGTCAATGTCACCTGGGCTGAGGAAACTTTGCCAGGAAGGCATTTAGGGCTTTCGCGGAATGGACCCGATCAGAGGACACCAGAATGCCCTTCTCCTCCATTGATGTCTTCTCTGCCTCTTTTTGCTATGGAAAAACCCATCATACAATTACATCTACTAATAAGCTGCTGGCATGAGAGATCCAGTTCTACAATTCAATTTTCAAGTTTGACATCCTAATCCTGACTGCAAATTATGAATTATTATGAATTATTATTACATCACCAGTGTTGTCATGCACACTTTAAATGGAAGATCCCTGCCACCAGTCACCCAATTCACAATACAATTTATAGACCCCAAAAAATCTATCAAATCTTTTCAGTGCTGCAGTAGAAAATTCAGGAAAGATTCTTCTGCATGACAATGGGCACATAAAGGATAAGGAAAGGTGCACAGATCCAAGGCAAGAATGATTGGAAAAGTGGAAAAAAAATGAAGGCACAAAAGCAGATCAGTACTGTGGTTAAATATGCAAAAAAGATCAAAAGCAGGATATGATGCTTTCAGGTTATTCTGCAGCATTGCAGATTCAATCCTTTGGCTTTGTTTTCCCCATTATCTAACAGTAACAATAACTGGGCATGACCATTTAAATGGACAAAGTTAGGATAGGAGAGTCACATCTCCAGAAAAAAGAAGAGCCAAAAGATAATCCAAAAATCTTCAGCCAATGATTCCAAACATATCTCTCTACAATGGAATGTATACAGAAGTAAGTCATGGAGTCTTCAGGCAATAAAAATGTATGTTCCTTTGCTGCCTTTGGACATTCCAGAAAGGGGGAGCAGTTGAAGCAAGCAAAGAGATGTTTATGTTATAGGAAGATATCAGTTTCATTACTGCATCAAAATTATGGAAATTCATTCAAAATGACACAGATCTATCCTATGCCAAAAAAAAAGCTCAGCACAAAAATATAGGGCTCACAATTCCATTGTAAAATTGGGAAAACCCCAGCGAAAGGATGTGGATTGCCCCTGCTGTTACGGGTGACGGTATGCGCGATCCCGAGCAGGCTAGACAAGGGAGGAATCACGTGGTCTAGGTCGGAAGGGGTTAACGACAGGTTGAAGGAGTTATGTATCGCGGAGGGGGCAGTGTTTCTGGACACTAGGGAGGCTTTGAGTCGCTGTAGAAGTCCGATGGCTAGGGATGGAGTACATTTTTCGAAAGAGGGAGCTGTAGCAGTCGGATTAGCTATCATGAAGGAAAAT